GGAAGAGGCGGTGGCGACGAGGCATGGTAGTCGGCCGCTGCAGTGGCTCGTCGAGCGATTCGAATCGCGTTATGTACCTATACTCGAGCTGCCGCGTGCGCGCGCGCGCGCCGCATCAACTCCACCCACTATAGAGCTGCTGCTGTTGCTGCTACTGCCTACTGCGTCGTGCCTGCCACCAGTGGAATATCGTTTGGGCATCATTGAAAAAAGACAAGAACTGCGAACAAATCATTGATACCTTTTATTCTTCCAACTGCTTCAAATTCAGCATTATGAGCGACGATGGGCTAAAATTTAAGTGAAAAAGTCTAAGCGAAACATTGCGGTAGAGATGAAGAAGCCTTGCAAAAAACTGCATCTAGTCGTTTTTTTTTACACTAAAAGATACGACATTCAATTTTTTCCGATTTTTTCAAACGATGCTCCAAGTTTTAGAGCGAAAAAACTCACATTTAAAACTAAAATCACTTTTTCGAGGTGGGGCAATACGTACGTAGTAAGAAAATTCTGCCGAAATTCGCATGCGTATTTGCCTAATTTTAAAAATTTTTAGTTTTTAACCTTGTTCGAAAAAATAGAAAATCATCAAGATTCAGGATGCAAAAATAAAACGATCATTGTTTAAGGCAGATTTTGAATGGTTAGTTCGTTCGTCGCCCCTAGGCGGCGCTGGCTTAATACATGGCATCTGCAAGTAGATAATTCAAAGTGCGTATACATGCACCTATGCATAGATCGACAATTTTCAATTAAAATCGATTACTATTGTGGTTTTCCATAATGCTCAGTCGTATACGTATACGATGTGTTGTGGAGTACTGAACTTGGTAAAAAATGCATGCATTTTCACTGTTTTCGAAACTGCTCTCAAAATCGGTGGCTTGTTGGTATTAGATATATGGACAATAACAATACCGGTACGTTGATATCGAAGTTATTTCACGAGAGAAGAGAGTGCGCTTGTCATGGGAGCAAAACACCCCCTAGTAAGATTAGATTAAACCAAGAATGAGGAATGAAGACAGTCCGACACTTTGCTGCGTAATGTGACATCGGGAGACGAAAACAATCCAAAATTTCTTTTAGTATGTAGAGCTCTAAGCGCACAAGAGCCTCTGTACTCATTACCTATTACTGTTACTTATTTAAATAAATATTAAATTATATTTCACTGCGGTTCCATTCGACCCTCTCCCTCTCAAGACATCACAACCACAAACAATCAGATAACTGTCACAAAACTGGAAATTGACAGGCAGTCATTTTACATTATACAATATAATCTAGTATATGTATTAAAACGCCTCGGCAGTCCATCGTCGCCAGGTACTCCTTCAGGTTGCTTTATTTAATATTCCTTTCGAGAAGTTTATGAATATAATGGCAACGTTCGCTCTCACATGTACATCGACTCAAAGCATATCTAAAATAAACGATGCAATGCTCTCTCGCACTGCATTTGTAACGTATGGCTTTCGTTGATGTTTTTGTAATAAGATATTAGACGGTACAGGGCTCATCCCAATTTTTTTTCACCCTTTTTTCATCGCAGCGCACGCGCGAAGCAAACTTTTTGATTGCGCTATCTATATTCATTCATTTGTCAGCGCGCGGCACGCGATGTTCTAATATAATATAGACACCGCTTGCACATTCAACGCGCGCGTGATAATCGTAAAACGTCTTCCCTTTTTTTTTCTTACTTTCTTTGCTCCACCCGATCCCCTATATTACTCGCGGCAGCTGTGGACTCGAGCTACGATATGCATGCGCGCATGCGAATGCGTAATGGTGCCGGGGATACGCGACACACATTCGCGATAAGATTACGGACACTCGGGTATAATCTCTTCTCTCTCTCTTTCTCACTCGTTCGCTTTTTGATGTATATTAAGCCATACACACGTGGTCGCGCCAGGACATCTCTTCTTGCGCGAGGATAGCTCGATATACCCACGCAGATCGTGTCTCCGTGCACGTTTATAAATGCGTCGTGGACCTGCTTCCTCTTCTTCTTTTTTTTCTTACTTCTACATAATATAGGCAGCCTCGGGGATATTATTATAGCTGCAGCCTCGTGCACCGATCCAGCAGAACTACTTCTATATCGGTAGTGGATGCGCTCTTAATAAACTTCGAGTAACAGTTTTTAGTCGATGTAATTAAAAATTTTGTTTGGCCTTTTTTTCTTCGCCCCTTTGCTATATGAACGCGCGACTAATCTCTTTGAAAAAAATCGTTTGCCAACATTTTAATGAACGCGTAATAGTGAGCGCCTCTGTACGAGCTTGTATATAAGTACAAACACACGGTGGTGATATATACGAGTACGACATACCACTGGCTGGACGCGACTGTAATTAACTCAAAATTGTGGCGCGCATCCATTTTACAAATGGTGGTAGTATATATACGAGAGATTATCGCTACGTGGAAAATTGACTAAAAAAAAAAAAAACAAACGTATTATTACAGTTACAAGTTCGAGTGAGATTTCACAAAACATCCTTGCGAGCTTTCTAATGAAACGTCACCGCTGACACACACACACACACACCGTGCAGTATACACATGGTTAATTAATGCTCCCGTGAAATTCACGATAACTACCGGGCAAAATGTATCGTGTAGTTGAACTTGGATGTGTACTTATAATTTCATAAATAAACCCCGTTTAATAATCTATTTTTCTAATTATCCACGAGGTACAACTCAATTCCTTTCTTCATTTTCAAAAATAGATCATTTTATTTCACGGGCAACAATCTCTTACCGCAGTTAATGAGACATTTTCATCGAGAAATTAGCATTAACGAGCTTGCAAATAGCGCTCGCTTAATTCAGCAAATCCATCAATGTAAAATCCACAAAGCAGACAAACGCGTTTAATTTGCAAACGTGCTATTTCCATGCAAGTTACAAAATATTTTGAAACGATCACCTGGCTGATACTGGACGACGGCTGCAGCACGGTGTCAATTGAACGAAACAAAAAAAAAGTTGAATAAAAGGAAAAAACGTCGCGATGCTGATGCATTGCTTGTCACTTTTGTAAGCGATACTCGAGTCTAGATTTCTATCTCTCGCGCGATGCGGCGCGACACGCGTACATTTTACAGCGAGTAGTTTTTCGAATTACAGATGTAGGTATTATATCTATCTATCCCTCCGTGCGTTGTACACGTATGCGTGTATACGCGTGGAATGATCTAATTTAATCGAATGCTCATTATTAATGCTAAACGAGAGAGGGATACGAGTGTGTGTGTCTGTGTACTTTGTAAGTGGCATTAAAAGTAGCCTCGTGTTCTTAACCAGACAATTTAATCAGAAATTTATTTTTGACACAGTTTTCTTGATTAAATGTATGCTTATACACGTCGTACTCACGGTCGGATCTCTGTCTATTTACCGTTTGGAATAGAAAATTAATAAAAATCCGTGCATATATCGCAGTACTCGTGCGTTTTATGCGCGCTCTAAACTATAGGAAAACCAGTTCGCAGCTCGTGAAAAATCATCTCAGCATCCCGCGCAGATATCAATAGTGCACGCACCCAGCAGCTCAGCCAATTCGATTATTTTCGATACAATCAATCTCCCGCGTGTGTAAGACAACGCAGTAGCGATGCGCATTATACACAGCATGTACATACGTACAAGACAATCTCTCTCTCTCTCTTGCCACTGCATATAAGCGTCGGTCGTTTCTATATTTAACTGCGCCCTCGAGAAGAGTGGCTGCTGTGTACAGCGCAATTAAATTGTTCTGCATGCGGCTCTCCTCCGAGTGCAGAACAGAATACACAGAAAAAAAAAAAAACACGTAAGCGCGCGAGATCTTACGTACGACTCGAATTAATCGCGTCGAATCTATATTATACACGCGTGCGTATACCGGGCCATTATACTATGCTACTATCCCCCTCCCCGGAATGAGATAACTCAATGCTCGACGAGAGCTGCTTCTCTCCCGCGCACTGCTGCACTTCTGCGCAGACGTATATACTGTGCTCGGCGCTCGCGAAATTCAGTGCGCGCGGCTGCAGTGTACCGCGTGTCGCGCTTCGTTAGGCGTGATTTTACATATCAATACCATGCGTAATAGCTCGCGACCGCGCCGGATATTGTTCGATCGCTGCTCTTGCGGCAATTTTTCTTTTTTTTTTCGTTGTTGCTCCTTTTCTCGTAGTTCTGACGTTATTAATGCATTCGAGCGCGATATCGATAGATTTCTCGGAGCGAAGGAGGGAGTACACAGCTCGTTAACAATTGTAGTGTACCGGGCATGCTCTTAGCACGTCCTCTTTGCTTTAAAAAAATTTTACTTCTTCGTAGGTATGCTCAGCGAGTGATGATTAAAAATATTTTAAAATAATTTACCATCGATTGGTTCATTTTTAACAATTTTTTCGCTAATTTATTGCAAAATATTATGCGTTTTTAGCATGATCTGAAATTAACAATTTAACTGTTCCAAAAAATGTAGTTTTCAATAACCACTCTAAATACGATGATATCAGCCTTTAACGCTAGATGGCGAGCACTCTCATCTGAAAATCTACAAGTGACAAAATGAAAATAATTGTATAAGTAAATTTAAGATTCTGCATAAAATTTGCCGACCCTAATTTCTCACCCAATTTCCAAAATTTAGCTAATTATATTTTGTTCCTTAAAAGTGTATTATGATTCTGGTCAAAAATATGGTACGCAACTATAGCGAGGACAATTGAAATTGAGTCTGTTGCCAAAATTTGTGGTTGACCACATAGATATTACACGTTTTAATGACAGATTATGACATTAAATTTTTACTTTTTCACTTTTCGTGTCACGACGAACGTGATTATTCAAGCAATGAAAAATGGACTTGGTTTTCCTGAAAATAATCGATTGTTCTACGGTTGACGACTAGCTGTACAAAATGAAGTACACTTTAGTAGTAATTACAATAACTTTTTATTTTTCCCAAATAACAAAAGTAAATGCTTTAAATGGCAATGGTAAGGGTTTAATAACTTAGTGAAAATCGAGCCAACTATATAATTGAGAAATAATTTTATTCTGAGGTAGTGAACAAAGTAGAAGAAATAAGAAGCAGAGGTAATTGTCAAATAACGTAAAGTTGAAACACAAATTAGCTACAAGTGTAACATAATTAAATATTGATTCAGTCAAGCGTCAAATATATGGAGGGTGGAAAGCTGAAGACGCCACGCATTTACCTCATCTAGTATACTTACGTAGGAACGGATGGACCAAACCGAGCTGGTTACCTTCGCTAATTCATCATGTGCCATTTATCGGCGATTGGTTCGCGACCCCGTTTCATTGTGGTGGTGTTATAATTCATAAACGTTTTGTGCTCACCGCGTCTCATTGTATTATAGGGTAAAGAATTTGGTAAGCATGACATTTATTTCTAGGTAGATTAATTATCGTTATTATTTAGGGATGCCGAATCCGAAGTGAAGAGGCTGGAAGTTGTCGCTGGAACGAGTCAGTTGAAACATCCCCACGCAGGAGACGTTAAAGCTTACGCCGTCGAAGCTATCGTTGTACACAACGTGCCTGGCGTATGATATACCAAATATGTTTGATTCACCTTTTTTTTCGTTACTGTCATAATATTTTTTTATTGAAGCACGTATATATTGTTGGAGATATTGCTCTGATAAGAATCAAAAAACACTTCGAGTACGGTCCAGAAGTAGCTCGAGCGAAATTACCACCACCAAATTACAAAGTTGCTCCGAACACTTGGGTTACCATAGGAGGATGGGGTGTTACCGAGGTAAACATACATATTCATAAAATGATAATCATAGTAAGATTTTTTTGACTCATTGGTTCCTCGAATTTTACTATACTAGGCTTCTAATGACCCGCTAGATTTGCATTATTTCCACACACGAGTTGCTCACATGGAAGTATGCCAAGCAGCATGGAAAGCTTTTATTAAAGCTAAATACCCCTTAAACTCAGCAGGAATAAATTTTGACAAAATGATCGATAAACACACGATGATGTGTGTTCAAGGTCGCGAAGGACAAGGTGTTTGTAGCGTAAGTTATACTCCTACTTCAATCGAACAATTGTACGACTTTTTCCATACTTTGAAAGACATTTTTTGTACTTCAAGGGCGATTCCGGCAGCGGAGCGGTGACGAGCGACGGGTATGTCCTTGGAATCGTGAGCTTCGGCGCCACACCCTGCGGTAACTCGCACATCATACCGGATGTCATGAGCTACGTTCCGCACTACGTGCCCTGGATTAAAGAACAAATGGTTGCCATGATAAAGCAATCAACGCCGAATGCGGTTTTACCCTCGGCCTCAAATCAATAACTCAATCAAGTGCCTCTCATTGCGTTAAAAATATTCAGAGTTCATTCTCAATTAACGGAATGTTTCAACTGACTCGTTCCAGCTACAACTTCTAGCCTCTTGACTTCGGTTGTGACATCCCTAAATAATACCGATACAATATTACAATATTAATATATGTAGGAATAAAAGTTATTTTTATCAATTATTTACTCGTATTGAGGATAAACAGCTCGGTTTGGTCCATGGTTCAGAATTTATATTCTGAATATTTTCGTATATCGAAAATATAAGTAGAGTAAGCTTTTACGAATGTATAATAAAGACTCAATTTCTATATACTCTGTATACAATACAGAATGTATTCGACAATAAAATCGCTACGATCAAATTTTTAATACAAGCTTGGAGATACATTTGCTGCCGAACTGCAAGACGGCTGGCTTGTGTCTCTTCGCGTCTGCATTGGCTTGACTTTGCACATTGGCGCAGGCGAAGTACACGCAGAACTCGTCGTCGGTCTCGCCGACGTTGACGACGAGATCGCGCGGCACGTTGGAGCACTTGAGGCCGAGCTCGGGCACGTCCATGATCTTGACGCGGCGGCCCGTCTGGCGCACCCGCATCACCTTGAACGTGCGGCACTTCTGATTGTTGCAGCGCCCGGTGAGCAGCAGGATGCCCGCGTCGTCGCGCAGATTGTGCACGGCCATCCAGTCGACGTTGCCCGAGTTCGGCACGCTGGCGTTCATTCGCGGATTGGCCCTGGCGTCGAACTGGGCGCAGTGTATGCGCCGATCGCCGAACAGACAGACGGCGAAGAGCTCGTGACTGGTCGAGGTCACGCGGTAGAGCTGGCGCGGATCCTGCACGGTGGCGGTCATGAGGTTGCGGGCCTGGCCGTCTCGGGCCAGATGGACGGCGCGAAATTTCCACGAGTCGATGTCCGAGCCGCTGACGTAGAAGCCTCGATCGGGACTCGAGGCGGCCACGGGTTCGACTCGGGCGTCCACGAAGTTGGCCAGGAAGGGGACGATCTTGACGCGTTTCCCGGTCGAGTCGTGGCTCAGTCGGCAGGTGTTGTAGCCGCAGAGGGCGCGAGACGACACCACCACGTCGAAGCCCGATGGGTAGATGACCAAGTTGCTGAGGACGATGTGGCCGTCGACGTCGATTGGGAAGGTCAGGTGATGGGTGTCGCAGCTGGCCATGTGCAGCAGCGTCACGCGGATGTTCTCGATCTCGTACTGGCTGTCCTTGCGACGCTCCCACCAGGTGAGCAGGACCCGATCCTGGCCGAAACGCTCGACCGACGAGACGGCCGTGACGTCGTGCCTGATCGCGTCGCCGTCTACGCTACCGTTCAATTTCAACGAGCAGCTCTGGATCGTCGATTTGCTACTGCTGTTCCTGGAAAATAACGAAGCCAAAAAAATCGTTATATTCCGCGATGCAAGTAAGATTCATATAATTTTTATCTCACCATTTTTCCAACGGTTGGTCGATCGTCACGTTGCAGTGGATTTCCGAGGGTAGTTTGTCGTTGCCGCAGACGGCGTACATGAAGCTGTTGTCGTCCGCAATTATTTTACTGCCGTACTTCACCGTCACGTTCGCACCAGCGATTCGCCAATCTTTGCGAAAATTTCGATACTCGACATTTTTCGTCGATGCCGAGGATGCGGCACAGACGCACGAGCCAATGAACACGAAGAATATTCTAAGCGTCGCAGATGTCATGGCGTTGCTCGCGTCGATTTGCGTTTTATTTATTATTGAACGACTGGAACTATGAACGATCGAAAATTTCTTCGTGCGCCACTTAGTTTTTGAGCGAAAATTTGTACAACGCCAGTGACAATGATAAAAAAAGAAAACAACACTTTTACCCGAAACTAAAAATAACTTTTACATCATCGGTCTGTATCGATAATTGTTGACTTGGCACATGTCGTTAAAATAAGAAAAAAGCTCGCCAAATACCGAGACGTTACCACTTTTACTGTTAGATTCATACTGACTGCGCGCGATTATTATTCTCTCTTTCTCTCGAGTTATTTACGTATGGCCGCGATATGATAGTAAAAAGCCGCACACGAGCGAGCCACTGATGCTGCTGCTGCTGCTGCTGGCCACTATGGAGAGCAGAAGAAGAGAGAGAGAGAGAGATAACCCATATCGTCGTCGCGCGGAACGAATGACTCGGACGATCTTATAAAACGCGAGCAGCGATCTTTTCAACATAAATACGCGCGCACATGCGGACCCGAACTATCTTGTGCGCGAATTTAATTTTAATAATTCACGAGTAAGCTCGATGAAAATGCGTAATACCGCTTTTCGCTGCGATCGGTGCCGGGATCGTCACGCGCGTACTCTCGCACATCTAAAAAAATAGAGGCGGAGTCGTGTCGCGGCGATCATGTTTGATGTGCGTACAAGTACTTGTTGGTGATGTAAAAAAAGCATAAATGAATAAAAAACAATCGATTACAATTTGAATGTCTCTCGATGCGTGAGAAAGTCGATCGCCAATGAGGCAACGGCTGCGCGCAACTTTGCCTATCCTCGTGCACGATGCATTCGAAGGGTGGGAAATCGAAGAGCTTCTCCGCGGATCTCTCGAGCTTAACAATCGTGTCGATGTCTCGGGGCTTAATTAACGGAACATCCAGCCGTGTAAAACGCACGTTACATATTTTCCGAATGCCTACATTTCATACTGTGACATACGGCGCAAATCGACTCAATTATTTGAAACACGTAGACATATCGGTTCGAAGATTTTCCTCTGTCATTTAATCCATTGTTATATTCCCAGCTCAAGTAAATGCATCATTTTTCAAAGAACAGATATTCGTTGAACTTGCAAAGTAAAATAAAATCGAAAAAATGTCAAAAGAACTCATATTTCAATGTGTGTTTTTAATACTAGTTTTGTAAAATTGAATACATTTAGTTTTTCACATAAAAATCATTGGGGTTTAAAAGTAACTGTTGTAATTTTAAAGTAATTATAATCTAAAAGGTCATGATTATGTCAATTTGATTATTCCGGTACAAACGACTATAAAATGAAAATTACTTCAAAAGTTCAACGAAACCCCATAATTTGAAAAATTAGGTACTATAAAACAGAAAGGTTTTACTGTTAAATAAATACAATTGTAGCTTAATTAATAAACAGAATACTTTGTTAATGTAATAGAGATCTGTACTCTTACATACACAACATAAAATATATTCTGTCATAAATAGATTGCTGACGAACGATCCCGACTGTAACCTTATTAAAATAGGTGGCCTTGTAAAGGTTTTTTTTCATTAAACAATAAAATTAATATGAAAAATTATTCAATGATGCCTTATATTTCAGTTTTTTCAAAAATTCCTAAAATGGACCAGGTTATACCGTCTTGGCCTAGACAATTCGGGTTCTGCCTACAAATGTTAGGAAATTCCTATAAATCAGAAAGAAATTCAGGTATCGCATAAAATCGTAGGTGATTCGGATTTTGCCAGTAACACATACATTGTAATCTTTCGGTTGACTGGAGGTCCATCTGAAACTCTCGCAGCGTTTCTAATTTTTTTCTTTGAGTATTAGATCTTCTTTCACATGGTCGAGTAGACGCCAACGACGCCGAGTACGGCCAACATTTCCAGGGCGAGGGCCGGGCTCTCGGCGGAGTTGCACAATTCCTTTTTGCAGCTATAACAGCGAGTAGTCCGGGTGGATGCACAGTGTAATATCCGCGGCAAGCACGTCCGACCGATCATCATCCCCCCATTCCGGACGACTGCGTATTTGTTTGTGTGCAGCAACAAATATTGCGCGTGAGAGAGCAAAGAGAGAATAAATGTAATAAAAGCATCACAGAGAGAGAGAGAGAGAGAGAGAGAGAAGGAGAGCCAAACAAAAATTATGAGGCGAATTTATTCAATGCAGTATACTCACTCGAGACCATTTTGATGCACCGCCACTTGATTTTGGCAATATCTGGAACAATTAATTTTTAACGTGTCACTTATTAATTTATACAATTCATAGAATAATAATTCTAATAATCGAAGTCATGTCGGATTATTAATTTTCACTCGTCGATTCGAGTTAGAAGGAAAAAAAATAAAATAATTTTCTTACCCATATGTAATACCGTGTTATTATCTACCACAATCCCCTCGTCGGTGAAGTTTAGTTTGCCTATGGTCATCTCACCATTATTTACTAGCTCATTTTTCGGATTACACTCGGTTATAAATTTGTCCTGAACCGGATTGGTCAAGCACTCGCTATTTTTGGATGATGAGCAGGTATAACAACTAAAACTGTTCACTGTGAGCGAAACAAAATTACATTAAAAAAAGAAATCAAAAAAAGCGAGCAAAAAAATTATATCAACTATCTCGGGCGTGCGACAAAACAGAGGTAGATAATAAAGGAGAGTAAAAACAATAAACAACCTGAATGAACAAATAATAAAAAAATTAGGACGAGCGAGATGACGGCACAGTTTTTAAGATACATTCTATAGCTGGACGATGTTAAACGGGCGACCGATGACACGAAACTCGAGCCCAATTGTGAGCCTCGAGATTAGAAACTCGACTGTTCTTACGAGCGCATACTGACTCGGTCTATGTCGCATTGCTGCTACATTTGTTAAAAAATACACGCACGTCACGCATACCTGTACAATCGTCACCTTTGCTATACCCAAGTGAGAAACGATTAAATTTGAATGATACGTAGCATAATGATCGAATCAAGATTTTTAAAAAATTTGAAAGATCTGCACAACTGTTTATCATAGCTGAATAAATAATGATCAGGTTCATTTATTTATTCATCAACAATTGTTTTTAACAATCGACGAGTGGAAAAAATTAGCTTTTCTCGACATTTCTCTCGACAATTTAGTAAGAAATATTCTAAACCAATGGGCTTGTCGATTTTTGCAAGACCTTTAAATACTTTTTTCCAAATGATCTTCAGGTCCCTTTTCATAAAGATACGACGGTTTTACTGCAGGTATAGCAAAATTGATTGACGGGCAGCTTACGGACACACTAAAAACAAGTTCTAATGATATATGAGTAACGCGTTCACCATGCCGCGAAATAATATTGGATTACTCATCGTAGAAGTTTGTTAGGAAAAGAGAAACAGAGAGAGAGAGAGAGAGAGAGAGAGAGAGAAGGAGAGTATGTAGCTCAGCACTGCACCAAAACTTGAGCAAGTAAGTAACTTTAATTTTTCTTTCGCGAATTAGATTAATTAATAAAATTTTCAAATTTTTATAAAAACAATTTTTTTAATACTTTTCTTTTAAATAAACCATGTGAAAATGATGAATAGATTAAGTTTATTAAATATTATAAATTTGTTTCTCAGGTTATATCATGACGAGCCAGTTTATAAAATAATAACTATGAAATTATAAATTATGACAAATAATATAATGATAAATTGTATGACACATAATTTTCATTAATTATGTAAAAAGACTAATAGCGGATTAAATCAGTTCGAAGGTGACTCTGAATCATCTAACTCATTCATAGTTGGACACACACACTTCCATGCACAGCCCATTTTCAATCAAATTGACAATCGCATCGCTTTCATTGCGGTTTTATTCCCTCGATCGATAAAGTAGAGCAAACAGCTGACTCGTAGCCTGTGTCACAACGCTGGTCAGTCCAAAGCTCAAGAAAGAAAGAGAGACTACGCGCTTATGGACAATGAACACAGCAAAGGAAAGGTACTTTTTCCTTGATATTATAATTCTTCTTCTATCATTTAGGCTAAACAAGAACAACGAGAATAAAATATGTTGATTAAAATAATTTCTGGGTAGTATACAATAATAATACAACCGAACTCTTGTCGCGTTTCCAGATTTATTTCGATGAGTATTACATCTTCCATCACATGGTCGAGTAGACGCCAACGACGCCGAGTAGAGCCAACATTCCCAGGGTGAGAGTCGGGCTCTCGGCGGAGTTGCACAATTGACTTTTGCAACGGAAGCAGCGGCTAAACCGGCTGAATTGGCAAGGCTCATTTCTCGCGGCGCACGACCTCTCGACCTTCATCCCGACTTTCCGATCGTCTGCATAATTGTTTGTGCGCAGCAACAATGAACGAGTATAGTAAAGCAAAGATAAATTAAATTTAGTACATGAAGCAAAAGAGAGAAAGAGAGCGTAATAAAAATTGTCAGGAGTATACGCACACTGGATCGTTTTGATGCACGTCCACCGCTTTTTGGCATGATCTAAACAAATTAATTTTTAGCGCATCGGTGCTCGTAAGTTCACACAATTGATATGATAATCAAAGTCGTGACGGATTTTTAATATTCACTCCTCGATTTGGATCATAAGAGACAAAAAAACCACATCATATAATGTTCTTACTCGAAATCGTTGTAATCCCAGAACTGGCCTTTTCGATTATCATAACACCACCAATCATGGTCATATTGCCGACCAAGGGCTCGAAGGAGTTCTCTCCATCACAATCGCTTATATACTTGTCCTGAACCGGATTGGTCCAGCACTCGCCACTTTTGGGCGATAAACAGGTATAACACTTGAGACTGTTCACTGTGAGCGAAACAAAATTAAAATAAAAAAAGAAATCAAAAAAAGCGAGCAAAAAAAGTTATATCAACTATCTCGGGCGTGCGACAAAACAGAGGTAGATAATAAAGGAGAGTAAAAAGAATAGACAACCTGAATTAACAAATAATAAAACAATTAGGACAAGCGAAATGACGGCACAGTTTTTAAGATACATTCTATAGCTGGACTATGTTAAACGGGCGACCGACGACACGAAACTCGAGCCCTATTGTGAGCCTCGAGACTAGAAACTCGACTGTTCTTTCGAGCGCATACTGACTCGGTTTATGTCGCAATGCTGCGGCGTTCGTTAAAAAATACACGCACGTCACGCATACCTGTACAATCGTCAATCACCTTTGCTATACCCAAGTGAGAAACGATTAAATTTGAATGATACGTAGCATAATGATCGAAACTAGGTTTTTACAAGAACTTTAAATCCTTTTTTCTCAAATTGTCCTGTACGCTCATTTTTGTACGAAGATACGGCCCTTTTGCTGCACCCTGATATTTTCGAAATTCGGATTCGATCATTATGCAACGTAATACACTTTATAGCACTGCGTGGCATAAGTTCACATCTATGGCACGCTTTTCGGTGGCATAAGTCGCACATTCTGGCACCGCTGCGTTCGCATCACACTCGCATACGCTCGTGCGCTAACCTCACTTCGCGCTACCAGAAAGTGTGACTCATGGCTCAGAAAAGGGGGCATAAATGTGAACTTTGCACAGTACTATAAAACGTTGTTCGATACTCGGGCCATAGGGGACACTTTTCGGCCCAGCTATTAGGACCCTCGCTGCGCTCGGGCCCTAAACTACGCCGTGCCAAAAAGTGTTACTTATGGCACTTGTATCGAAAATTACTATTTCACTCGGGTATGGCAAAAATGATTGATAGGCCGTTTACGTACACACTGAAAACAAGCTCTAATATAATGAGTAACGCGTTCACTATGTCACGAAATATAGTTCTTATATATTAAGCAGTTAAGCTGAAAAAAAGTACGTGGATCCCCAAAATTTCTGATTTCGATTCCAAAAAAGCCCCCTTTACCCCGTCTCAGAGTCTCCAAGCAAAGGAGCGGTTCACTCTTTTGAAATTTTACTAAACTACTAATAAATAAGATAAATGAATTCAGACGATTCTTCATCCCGACTTTATATTACGAGACTAGATTTTGAACTCAGAAACAGTAGTTCTCACAGCGGGAAGCACCATTACTATCAAAGTATTCGAGCATTTGTAAAGTTTATTAATAACAATACAGATTTATAAAAAAAAATACACTCGGGTCGTAAGGTATAATTCAAGCTCCACGTCGACGTTATAATAATCTATTTTCGCGGGCATATACTTATGTAGTTAATAATTTTACAGCGTTTACGCACGCAAGGTGACATGGACGAGATACGCGATCGAATCTATATCTCGGGATCCTTGAGAAAGATAGCCATCGACAGCGTATGTATAGGTTCGAATCTTCTCGAATTACCTTCGTGCATATGGGAAACCAAGCTGCTGCGGCTGCTGCGTATGTGAAACATATTTAGAGGTCGTTACGAGCACGCTATTTGCATAGGTTACTGTTACTGCCGTTGTATTGTCGATCCGCAAAAATTTTCGGTAGCGGCGTGTGATTTAATGATAGCGATCAACGCTATAGAGGGTCGTTCGATTTGGTGTATACTGTAACTTGCCAGAAGGAGCGCGAATCAAGCTACTCAATCATTTAATTATTTACTTTTTTGGTTCAATAAGCAGTAATACAAATTGCACTAATAGCGCATTGACAATAAAAGGAGTAATCAAAGAATAAATAATTGTAAGTTTATTATTTTTTATTTTATTTTATTTTTTTCCATTTTTCGACAGCGGCGTTGAACGCATTATCAGCCGCACATTTTGTATTAAAAAAAAATTACAAAACTTAAGCTACATCAAGTTTAAAAAAACCTCGACTAATCACGTTGAATCGAATTACGTATTCAATTTTCCCTAATGACCTGCTCGATCCAGTCGCGATAGAAAGCGACCTCGGTGTACACGCCCGGCCGATAGGGCAGGCCGCAGCCGTCGCCCCAGGAGACGACGCCGGCGAGGCGTCCGCCGATGGCCAGCGGTCCGCCGGAGTCGCCGTGGCAGGCGTCCCGGCCACCCTTGCCGTAGACCAGGGCGCAGATCTCGCCCGACGGCAGCGGACCGACCCTCTCGCGGTAGAGCTCGCTGCACAGCTCCTTGCCGATCATGGGCACGTGGACGGCCTGCAGCTGGCTCGGCTTCCAGGTGGCAGGCGTCTGGCCCCAGCCCGAGACTACGCCCGTCGCCTCCGGCTCGACTTGCTCGCCCGGCCCGAACAGCTCGATCGGTCGGCGCTTGTCGTCGAGTACGATCGGATCGCGCAGCTTCAGCAGGGCGATGTCGCCCTCGGGCGCGCCTCGCCCGTACATGCGGAATCGCTGGTGCCTCGCGAACTTCTCGATGCGATGCACGCTGCCGCCCGACTCGACGAACGACGTACCGGCCCGGACGGTCGTTTGGCTCAGATAGTATTCGGAGACGCAGTGACCGGCCGTCAGGATCCACTGCGGCCCGATGATGGAGCCTCCGCAGCTGTGGCGATTTCTCGACTCTATGCTCACCTGGTAGGGGAAGTCTTCGACCTCGACGCTGTTACCACCGTAAATTCGTGGCACGGTATCGTCAGCTAGAGTGCGAGAAAAAAAATCGTTAAGCTCGCTCGGAACATTTGGGAAAAAAATCGGAGGCTATTTTGTACTTACCGGCATTGCTGACTGCGGCTAGGAGGAGAACACTCGCCAGCGAAAACAACATCTTCGGCTGATTTTAGTTACGATTTATCCATGACACCGGCCCGTTAAGTTTTGAGATTATTTATACGCAGCTCTTGTGTTAAAAATATCTCGCCGATGTCGAAAGTCGATTTGTTGCTATAACCGAGGCCTTATCGTTCAGAGATATCGATTAAAAGTCATTATTGTTACTTAATTAATGCCTTGATTTTGGCAATATCTGGAACAATTAATTTTTAACGTGTCACTTCTTAATTTATACAATTCATAGAATAATAATTCTAATAATCGAAGTCATGTCGGATTATTAATTTTCACTCGTCGATTCGAGTTAGAAGGAAAAAAAATAAAATAATTTTCTTACCCATATGTAATACCGTGTTATTATCTACCACAATCCCCTCGTCGGTGAAGTTTAGTTTGCCTATGGTCATCTTACCATTATTTACTAGCTCATTTTTCGGATTACACTCGGTTATAAATTTGTCCTGAACCGGATTGGTCAAGCACTCGCTATTTTCGGTTGATGAGCAGGTATAACAACTAAAACTGTTCACTGTGGGCGATACAAAATCCAATTATAGAAAAATAAAGAAATCAAAAAAAGCGAGCAAAAAAATTATATCAATTATCTCGAGCGTGCGACACAACAGAGGTAGATAATAAAGGAGAGTAAAAACAATAGACAACCTGAATTAACCAAAAATACAGAAATTATGAAGAGCGAGATGACGGCACAGTTTTCAAGGTACATTCTACAGCTGGACGAGTTAAACGGGCGACCAACGACACGAAACTCGAGCCCAATTGTGAGCCTCGAGACTAGAAACTCGATTGTTCGTACGAGCGCATACTGACTCAGTCGATGTCGCATTGCTGCGGCATTCGTTAAGAAATACACGCGCACACACGCATACCCGTACAATCGTCAATCACATTTGGCATACCCGAGCGAAAAATGATTAAATTTGAAAATTACTCAGCTTATGAACAAATCAAGATTAAAATAATTGTTTTCCAAATGTCCTGTGCACGAATTTTTTTCAAAGATGCGGCTGCTCTGCTGCACCTTGATATTTTGGAAATCTTGATTCGATGGTTATGCTACCTAATTTTCAAGCTTAAACTCTTTTCACTCAGGTACGGCAAAACTGATTGACAAGCAGTTTACGTACACACTAAAAACAAGCTCTAATGTAATGAGTAACGCGTTCAGCATTTCTTGAAATAATAGTGGATTAGTCATTGTAGAACTTTGTTCTAGAGAGAAAAGAGAGAGAGAGAGAGAAAGAGAGTTAGAGAGAGAACGTTTATTTACTACGAGTAACTTATGATTAAATGTATAAATTGTACGACAAATTGTATATATCAATAATAAAGTAGCAATCGACTTCATTCGCTGAAAAGACTAATTGGAAATTTTAAATGTAATCCTCTTGTCTCATATTTACACTAAACCATGTCTAAGTTGTGAAAAAAATTAATTTATTTAAAGAATATGAACTGTACTGTCTGATTTGAATCAATTTTAATTCTAAGTAAATCTGATCGGTTTTATGTGCTTTGGGACAATCGAATTTGTGTGCGCTCCATATTTGGATTGAACATCTCGCGGATAACACCTACTATCGATCACAGAGTGAATAAAACGGGATTGCAACTGTTTGCTACGAAAAAAAATATATTCTTGAAAAGAACTATCAGAAACTTAATTTATCCTGGCCTGAAGCGCTTGCTACATTATTTTAAGTTCTTTACATGTTTATATGCATGCGCGCGCGCGTGTACATGCAATTTTGAGCGACTCCTCTATATATTACGTACACTTCCGCTCCGTTAAAAAAACCGGCCGTTTGCTTGTTTCGCTTCTAACTTCTTCTGTCCTTTTTTTGTTCATTTCTACTCCTTTTCCTCTCGTACGCGCGCGCGAATTTCTTTATTATACAGCCAAAGTGAACAGGAAAAAAAGTATAATCATTACGAACTCGAGCACCGAAAAAAGAAACGGGCCAAAGCACGGAGCAAACTCGCTTTGCGGAAGATTTGCATACGATTCGTGGTGACGATGGTATAGCCGGGGTACAGCAGCAGGTTCACGCAACAATAAAACATTCTATAAACACGTGTTTGTTCGTATATGCGAATTACCCGCCGTTGATTCGTCCGTGTACAGCCATGATATTATTATGGTAGTTGGCGTTTTGCGAGACTTTTTGAAAAACCGGAGTGTTTGTGTGTATATTTATACTCGCACCTGCAAATTATTTCGCAGGAGGATGAACCCTTTTTTGAGCCCGAAATATTCGCTGCTGCTGCTGCTGCTGCTGCTGCAGTTTCAACTAAAAATCCGCGTAATGCGTGCGCAACTCGACTATTTCTGGCTTTTCGCAGAAGCAAGCGTTGTTTCTTTTTTTGTTCTTTGATAATTAAGCTGCTCTCGAGCGATTACAATATGCGCTCTCTTACGCACACACACAACGGTACGAGATGCAATTCTAAAATTGCGTACATATAAATAAGGAGCGGGTATATCGCGTGTCGCGCCGCGTTATCAATAAAAGGGTAATTAAATTGACACCGTATAGCTCACTAAAAATAGCCCCGCGAACAAACATATTTAAGCTCGCGAGCTGCAACCTGTCTCGGGCGCATTAAAAGGCCTTTTAATAAATGATATTGACATTTTTGCCGCTACACCTACCAGATACAGCCTGTCCATTTTACGTATACATATACAACAGCGCTAGGCAAAAAGTTAATTACCCCGCGTGCGCGTTAGAAGGCACGCGCGTAAAATTTTGCGCTTGCATAATAGCGCAGCTGCGCGAAAAGCGCGTAGCGGTGGTACATTACATATGGCAATATGGTGACAAGATCGCCCATTATAACGACTCGCTGGTGCACACAAAAAATTGAGCAGAAGGGGATTATATCGTAAAACGCCACTTCATAATACGACAGAGAGAGAGATCAAGCGGCGTTCTTATAGCTCGCGCACAGGCCGTAAAAGCCTCGAAACGTCGTAATTGCATCTCTCGCGTCTATACATAATACAGCCGTATAATAGCTCTCGCGCGACACGTGTATATAATACATAGACTCGCGAGTATGCCTGTGTGTGTGTGTGTGCACTGCCGCACGCGCGAATAAAGAGGAAAAACTCGCGCAGTCGACGATACTTATAAACACGCGCACACGTGGCGAGCGTAAATCAATCGACGAAATCTCTCTCTTTAGCGCGAGAGAGAAAGAGAGAGAAAAAATGTTACAATGCACCGCACGTAATATCGCCCACGCTAATCGCGATAAGCTGGCTGCAACCTCGCCGAGGCCGGAGCAGCCAGAGTTGGAAACGACATTCGCAAGGACGTGGAATTTGGTCCGGCCGCGACCGGCTACGGAATGCGATCGTGAATTCATTTTTGTGTGAGTGCATTAGAGAGTGTGTGTGTGTGTAAAGTGTCAGTAGCTTTATTTATTACGGTGTTGTAGACGAGAAAAGAGAGCAATAGAGAGAGAGAGACTCGATTCGAAAAATTATTAGACTCGATATGGAGCGAGAAAGAGAGAGAAAGAAGTAAAACTTTGTGAATTACTTTATTTTATTTTGATGAATGTAGTTAGATAACGGGAAGGCTACGCTTGATCGACTCGTTGTATAGTGTTTGTTATGCGTATACGTAGCCTTGTGGGTCACTGCAACGCTTGATTGAGATACACAATATATGTACGGGATATATTTCGGGAAACGAGGGCGTACATTGCGCGCCGATCGACACCTCTGACTGAAATAAATATCCTTCCTTTTTTTTTCATTCATAAAAATATATCGTTTTTAGCTGCACGATGTAGTTTTAGAATTGATTTTGCGCGGGGTAACGGCCGTACAACAATAACAACAACAACAACTGCACTGGATCATCGAAATTTATCTTCTTAAATTGTGGAAGTATGTAGCGTATATAGTATACGATATTGACGGGTGGCAAGGCACGTACCTTTTTCCGCGGATTTTCCGTGTGCTGCAGCGCAGTTGTAACTACGTAGCGGGGGACTTGATACACCATAACTCATACTTTATATTACGCTACACATATGGTATATAAATACGACCGTTAATCGCAGTTTTATACACGCGAAAACACGTTATAAGGTAGCCCCCGCGCGAAAGCTTGAGAAATACTTGCTGTATTCTTATCCCAGATACGGCATTCTTGGCTATACGTTCCAGCGGCGGCAGCTACCATGCGAGAGGATCGATCTTATCGCGCGGTATCCATATCGAAGATATATACACCCACAAAGGATAAAAGCAGAGAAAGAGAGAGAAAAGTCAGATATAATGCATCTGTGGAATTGTGGAAGTAGGTAGGAGCAAAAGACGGACGTTTCGTAAGAAAACGCGAGCCGCGGCCCCGCGGATAAAAGAACCTCCAGTGTATCTTTATGTTGTTCGGATGTACGGTAAAGACGAGTGTATATTATTGAATGTGCACATTACAGAGGCAAAACGTAAATAAACCGTATACACGTGCGAGTAGCTGCATTTTCGTGTGTGTGTGTATCATAGCTGCTGATGCAGCGGCTGCAGCAGCACTACACGCGGAGCTTCCACGCGCTCAAGAAAGACACGAGCGATTCGTCATAATACAAAGTGCATCATGAACGGTCGTGACAGTTCAGTAGAGAATCGGTTACGATGTCTATCCTATCCTTTTGATCGTTCCAATGTTTCGACATTTTCTTCATTTTTCTTCAGTTGCTTGCGAGCAATTAATCAAGCATACATAAATTCGCGTGACACTGCAGAATCTGTAGAGATAAGACAGGGGGTTAAAAATGTATTACTCCAGAGCAAGAACCCCGAAAAACTTAAAGACACGCTTTACCTCTATAATCATATACGATCGCGCTTGGCTCAAATTAAAATTACACACTCGCGCACCGATCGAGCTAAAAGCCCCTCTACTTTCGCTCACACACGTCATAATATTCCTCGCGCCGTTTGCAAAAAAAAAAAAAAAGATAAAAGTAAGGCACACGATGCGCGCACTCAGAGGTCGAGTATAGTGGCTCTGCGCGTGGCTCAAAGTGCATCAACGCATATACACAAGTGTATGCTCTTAAGGCTATTTACGCGTGCGTAGCGCAATTTACCTCTCGAGAGAGGGATAATAATCGCGTTTCGTACACGCGTGTGTATATACGCGTCGGTGGCGGTGGCGGCGGCGTGGATGGAAGGAGCTGCCGCATCGCTCGCATCATCGTATAATGTACGTCCATACACTCGCGCAGCTCACCCGCAGCAAATGAAAGAGAGGAGCCGCCCTTAAACAACCTGTTGCGCTCGGCTTGCATGGCGGTGGTCGCGCCCACGTTATATATATATATATACAGATATATTCGCACACGGGCGCGTGTATGATTTGCGCATGATCGATGCGGGGGTCGGGGTCGCGTGGACTGCATATTATATATATAGCAAGTACACCGCCGCTGGCAATTGGAACGATATACCATATATACTACGAGTACCACTTACACAAACACACATACGCGCGCACACAGACGCAACGGGTCGAGGTAAGAGTGCACAGCTACGCGGGTATTTATGTATGTATACATACGCAGCTCGCCCCCTCGAGTCATAAGCGCGCTATATACAATACAACACGCGAGCGCGACCTGCTAATACGACGATGTTACTATTTATGCGTGTGTACGTATGCACTTTGCTCCGGGACGTTGGTTATATTGCGCGCGCGTGTGCGAAGCCGCTGCAGGCACGCGAATATCATCGCAGCAGTGGTGCGGCATGCCTGGATTATCGCGCAGATGGGCCGACAATTTGATAATTTTCACTCGTCGGGGAAATTTTTTTCCTTTTCGTGTATTTTACTCTTGTTATACACGTGTTATACAGATGCAGCTCACGCACACATGCACAAGTACGTACGTAATGCGTTGCTCTGTGTACTATACGCGTGCGGCGATCTTATCCGACCCCGCAGTGATTTATGAATCGCAGGAGTGACGGCGATGTATATTCGACGCGTCGCGCGATTCGCTGCCGCCGCCGCCGTCTTATTTGAGAGCGGCGCGAGGCAAAGTACGACAGCAACAGCAGCACGAAAGAGGAGACGATTTGTTTGCGCGCACGCCTGCAAAACGTCCCCTCGAGCGTGGGAGCTCATGCAGTTTTTACGAAATTTTACCTTCAGTCCGTTTATGCTGCTCGCAGAAATATGTCTCCAGTTTGCGCACTGCTCTCGCGGAACGATACAAAAGTACGTATACAGCTTATGAGAGCTCGACCGATAAAATCACCAAGAATATGAATAGCGTTGGTGGCATGACGCAAAAGCAATTTTACTTAGCTTGCGAATTCAAACTATACACATTCTTCTCTCCCCCAAATCATCGCTATTAAAATGACTTTGAGTAGAGCCGCGGAATGATAATTTAAATGTTCGTTTGAGTTTTAATTAAAATTTTCTTTAATAGTTCATAAAAAAAGTTTCGCATGTCGTAGCTGCTCTCTTGTGCATAGACACATGCCAAAGAAGCTTTCACTTAGTCGCTCGATTCCTAAGGCCATCCGTCGACTTGCGATCGAGTCGCTCGCAAAAGACATTTTACTCGCATAAGGTACAATAACGCATACATTTAGAAAAGATTATTATAGTGCATTTTGTAACAAGTGCGTGAAGAAGACGACTCGTCTAGGAGTTTTTTTTCTCTCTATTTCTTCTTCTTAACTATTCTGCTTTTCCGGCTGCGGACGTAGTATTATTAGCAAGGGTAGTATTAATCGCAGATGTAGTATTAATCGCGGGGGTAGTATTAATCACAGGGGTAGTATTATTCGCAACGGTAGTATTATTTGCAGCGGTTGTACAATTACGACCTGCAAAAAAAAACAAATCAAGTATATACATTCAAATTCATTTTTAACCATATTTCATAATAAATAAAAATTGTTATGGGGAGGACCAACTCACCTATACTAATTGTACCATCAGGACACTTATGTATCCCTTGAAAGATTTTTTCCCCTGTTATTTTGCTTGCAGCTTTGACTGAGCTTAATATTGCCTTGCTAGACATTTCTACGAGACCATGCTGAACATTCTCAAAAACTTTATCGAAAAAACCAGTATTTTTCGTTCCCTTGGCAGTTGTGGTGGGTCGATTTAGCTTGGCAGTCGGGGCAGGTTTATTTGGCCTGGCAGTTGAGGTGGGTCGATTTTGCACTGATCTTTTCTGAGTAGTCTGAGTTTTTTCGGGTTTTTGAGTACCTTTTTTTCCAGCTTCCACATCATTGCAAGCAAGCAACATCAAACAACCTAAGTTCAACGTATTCGTATTATTTTAGTTATAAATATCTCAATTGTATGAAGTAAATATCAATACCAGCCGCGAGAAACACGAAGAGTAATGGAGACTTAAACATATTTTTATGATTACGAACCAGAAAAATGGCTGCAAGCTCTGCGATCGTCAATTGATTACTGATTTGAAACCCCGATGAAGTTAAGATAAGTGCATGTCATAAAATCAATTTACAATAGTAATAAATGATCGCTGACTCAATACGCCAATCCAATTAAATTCAAATGTTAACTAAAATCGTCTACTCGACAATTTCGAAACGTGATAATTTTTTTTTTTTTTTCTAAAAAAATTAAGATCTATTTATTGAAATAAATTAAAATTAACGAGTTAACTAAAAAATGGATTCTAATTCATTGGCAAAGAGCTTAATTATAAAAAATTGTTGTTTCCATTTAATTTATAAATGCTGATTAAGAAATTTTTCAAACTTAAACCCAGTGAAAAAAACTAAAACTTTCGAAAAATGAAAATAAAAATATATTTCTTCTTCACTGCTATTAATTTACTTTATTCGCGTATTCTTTCTTTCAAGGTCGCGAGCTTGGCAAGAGCCGTGACTCGCGTACAATAATATAACCTCGACTCGTTCGCTCGCTGTGCAGCAAGTGCAACACCCACAAAAAGTCCAGGTTCTCTCGCTCGCGAGTCCGATTCTCGTTAGCATTAATAAACGCGCGGACCAATGATTTACGCCCTCCGCGAGGAAAGAATCAAGTCGCTTCTTCCATTGTATGCGTTTGCTTATAACTCGTTTGCCTAATGTGTAGAGTGTAAGTGTGCGAGTGTGCGAAATGTCAAGCGAAGCGCGAGACGTAAATCGCGTATACAGCACATGAGTGTAATGAGTAACTAACGCGCATACTCACACATACACGAACATTTATAAGTATTCGAAATTTTTTAAATTATAGTGAAATTAATTGGCTTGTTTTTTAGTGATTCTTTTCTTACAATTATGTTTCAATTATTGAGCGCATTTTAAATAATCTCAAAGCGATAATTTGTTTAAAAAAATTTAGACTGATTCTCAACTTCTTTGAACACCATTTTCAGCTTCCGCCACTAGATGGCAAGCATCCTTTATCTGTAAATCTGCAAGTGGCCATGTAACAATAATTGTATAAGTCAGCAAATAATAATAATTAAAGCCAAATTCACGAAAGATTTTGATTGCTCGATTTCACTGAAAAACGGACAAGTAAATAATACAGAGGGCCGAGTATTGAATTTTAAGTATATTGAAGCGCGATTGATGAGTAGCAGCAATTTTTAATATGCGCGCTCTTAACTACTTGAACGACTTATATTTATGAAAAAATCGGCTCTTGTTACGTCGTAAGCTTAGGTGAAAATTTTGGTAATCTCGAGAATTTCATTAGTTGAATGACGACGAGAAGAAGTTTAAATTATGATATCTATCAAGAAGGTGAAGGAGAAGGAGGAAAAGAAGTACGAGAGATTTCAAATCTGGATTACAATTATAGTATATTCTCCAAGAGAGATGATGAGCGATAAATTTCGTATATGAACTACTTGCGGGAGAAGTTTTTAGAGAATGAGAAAATCTTAACATTATTTCGCGAACGATCTATCTGCTGATTTTAGATTAAAATAATTAATAAATAAATGAAATTTCATACTAAACGTTCTTGTGAGCAGTCATTTGTTACTTCGTGAAAAAAAATAGTGACAATTAGCTACGTTTACTGTTTTACTACTTAGACTCGTGTCTAATTTAACCATTAAACTCGCGAATTGAGACACAAACAAGAATGAAGTTTTAGTCATTATTATATACTGATACATCGAGTGTCAAAAAGCTACTTCTATATATCGGCTATAGGGTAAATAAACTCGAATGAATTGTGAAGAAAAATAGTGTTGCATATACTTGTTAATACAGTATTTTCAAATGCACGTTATTATAAACATTATGAAATATTATATTTGTTTGTCACTACTATTGGTTGGTGTTAATTCGTTTTACATTGGTAAAAAAATAATAACAGCCCATACAGTTGTGAGATACGTTCAAATTTTAAATAATGAGAGTGATTTTTTTCTTCTGGGTACATTACCTGATTATAATAATTCAAAATAACTGAATAGACGATGAGCCGAGCAACAAGGACAAAATTCTCGGCGGGAAGATAGCGTCGATCAAGAAATTTCCCTATCAGGTACACTTTTCCTGATAAGAATGCTCAACATTAATTAAGGCCAAATGATTCCCAAAAACTGACCATTTCAAATGTTTCAACCCGATTCACATAACCATTAATTTGTTTTTCGTCCGCGATTTTATTAATAAAATCATGTTACAAATGTCAAACACCTTTTAAATGACAATCTAAAAGTTTGAAAAAATTAAGATCAACTTGCAATGACCCACAATACGATGATATTACTTCAGTGCTCCACCGCTGGATGGCGAGTTCCTTTATCGGTAAATCTGCTAGTGACAAAGAAAAAATAAATATATAAGTCGAAGCGAGGTTTCGAAAAATCATTGGAATGGCATAGGTACACTCGCACACGCGCGCGCAGCTCTTGGAACTCGTGCTTGGGCAATTTTAATTTTTCCCAATAATAATAAATAGGCTCAATTCGTCGCTTGGGGCCTCACGCAATGCGGCGCGAGCATCGTGTCGGACCTTTGGCTGATCACGGCCTGCCACTGCATCGTCGGCACGTGGTTCATGCTGCCGCGGCAAATCATCACGGGCACGCGCTTCAACGGCCGCGGTGGCGTGCTGCGCGAGATCGATTACATCGTCCAGCATCCGCGCTTCGTTCGCGCGAATTTCGACAACGATATCGCTATGATCAAGGTGAGAATTGTTTTGCCGTTTGACCAGAACCTTTGTGGCGTATGAAATCGGAATATTTTTTTTTTTTTTTTTGTTAGTNATTTTTTTTTTTTTTTTTTGGTAGTTGAAGGAACCAATAGTGTTCGATTCGAAGCAGCGGCCGATACCCTTGATCAATCGACGCGTCAAAGTCGGAGATAGAGTTCTCATTTCTGGCTTCGGAATCGAAAAAGTAAGCTGTTCGCACAAAATTAAACTACATACAACTCTACGATTACATCATAAATCTCCTCAGGAAGACCCTTCTGAAGACGTGTCCATGCGAGTCGGCTCACCGAAACTGCTCAAAGCCTCGGTCTACGCCACGGACTACGAGTCCTGCCGCGAGATCTACGCTCGGACCAACGACAGCCGAGCCGTCAGCGACAATATGTTTTGCGCTTGGGCACCCGGCAAGGACTCCTGCCACGGTGACTCGGGCGGTCCCGCCGTGGTCGGGGGCAAGCTCGCCGGCATCGTGTCGTTCGGCGACGTCTGCGGCTCGGCCGACTTTCCCGGCGTCTACACGCAGCTGCACAATTATCTGGCCTGGATCGCCGAGGTCATGGGCGAGCAGCGAAGCGGCCTCGAGCTGTACGTCAACCAGCCCAACGTCCAGAAAGATCCGGACGTCGAGAACGTCGACGGAGAGGAGGAAGGAGAGTACGTGGATGTCGACGACTACTACGACGATAATTCGTTTTGGCACAAAGCCGTCGACTTTACAAAGTCGAAGGTAAACGCGATCGCAGAAAAGTTCGGCTTTGTTGGGCCGATCTGGAAACGTTATTTGTGAATTGAACAATTTGTCAGAGTCATTGAACGGGTATTAAATAAATGAACGAAAAAGATGCGAGCCAATAAAGTCCTGAAAATCGAGCTTGTCCTGCTCACTGAAAGCATATCAATATCCATACGAGCATCTTTATAAATAGCTTCATAATTGTACGCCAGTGTGAGGAATATTCTCAACAACAAAAATCAGCGATTGTAATGCCTCCCTCACACCAATGCACGTGCAGTGGTATACGAAATGCCGTAGGTAAAATATTTCAAGTCACCGCTCGATCTCATTTGTGCATCCAACATAAATCTCTCCGCAAAATACAACCCGTACTTATACCACGACTCCGTGCGTACGTATGGATATACATGTGTATGACCCCCCGCGTGACCATCGCCGCGATTTGTGCAGTTACAATATTCCGCAGAGCCGAGCGTAGGTGTTGCGATGAGTCATAGAGCGAATTTTTAGCGCTTAAAAACCTCGCCGCGATTATTAAAGCTCTCGGGGCCGGCAATGAATTTTGCGCACGAACACGACTCGTATACGCGCATGCAGCGTTGACAAATATCGCCAAGAATCGAAGGAAATTAGCGAACATTTGTAAGTATATTATACGTATGAGCGAGAGAGATAATTTATCGATAATATCCAAGCTCGTGCTGGCATTTAAAAGCGACGAGGAAGACTAGCGCGAGGCACACGCGAGCGCGTATGGAACTTTAATGCCGCGAGACTTAACGTATAATGCAACAACGAGCGCATGACAAATGTCGGAAATTTTGATTTACTCGGCTCCGTGGCATATTATGTGTATCCTATATGCCCTGGCAAGGACTCTATACGTTCTTCCTCTGTCTCTTCGTTGCCATATTACGAATGCCAGAATTAACGCGCTAACATATCGAGGAAGGGTAGAGGACATACGAATTTTACGAACTTTGGCGATCGCATAATAATACTACATGGCTCAATTAAAAAACATCAGCGCGACAAACGCTCGGTGCTCGCGATATAATAATCGGCGTTAACGCGCAGTTGGTCTCACGCCGAGCTGCAAACGCACCAGCACAGCTCGTAAAGTCGTATGCGCGCGTAAAATTTTCTAATTGAATTCCGCACGTATAGCGTATGGAAGCTTGCGCCGGCCGATAACAAGCTGTATATAAGCTCTCTCGGCCGCGTGCAACAATAATTCCGTCGAGGCATATAACGTCGTATTTATACGCGGAAGAAAGTGCGCGAGATTTTCCTATCCTTCATATTTACGTATACAAAAGGCTAGCTGTGTATATAGCGAGGCACCGCGACGCAACAACGCGCACAGTCAATATAAACGCGCGCCTGCAACCGCGGCAAAAGCTCGTCGTCGCGCGAGCACCGAAGAAGGTAAGAAATTAATTGGCCGCGAGCCGCGTGGCGATATTTCACGCCTTCGCTTGGGTCGACTCGGCGCGTGCGAAATTCTCTCTCTTCAATGGACCACCTGTGTCGCGTGTATATATACGCGACTATTATATACGCGCGATATATATGCGCGCCTTAGCTTGTATTATGAGCGCTTATATGACAATATATGGCAGGCGCAGAGAGTCGTGTTCGCGCGGTGCCGACGTACGTGTATATGGTATAGGCCTCTATATACGACTATACGTCGCGCATGGCACACGCGTATATTTATGCGTATGGAGAAAATTCTTCACCCGCGCAATGTTGTGCGTGCCACGAGTAAATGATCGAACGCGATGAAGACTGAAAAACTTGTGCTTGGGAAATTCTTGCGGGGGTTCGGTATGCGTTTTTGCTCGATGAGAGGAGAAAAATGAGGAGAATCGAAGATTTTCAAAGGACGAATTGTGTTCGAGTCGAGGGCTCCGTTGAGATCATATATTTCGTTAAAATAGTTTTGAATTATTACCACACTACACGCATTACCGAGGCCTTTTTAATTATGATACGGCGACGATCACGAGCTTGCACTTGTTTAAATGGTGAAATTCGAGTGTATGACAGATTTTTCTTGTATTTGAGTAATATTATGACGAAATTTAAATAAGTTTGAAGTTAATCGTCTTTGTTTCAAATTTCAAGCGTACTTTAAACAACCTGAAAATGGCTGTTTAGCTATTTCAAAAAATTGAATCTATAGTTTTTAGCACTTTAAATACAGTTATATCAGTCACCACCGCTAGATGGCCATTACGTTTCTTTGTAAATCTGCAAGTAGAGAAGTAAATATAAGTGTATATAAGTAAAAGATATCGTATAGATAAGTATAACATTAGGTTAAAGTTTTACTCCTCCTTTTGAATTACAGTTTTACTAATTGGCTTCTTTTTGGCGATTTATCTGTTAAATTATGTTTCGAGTAATTTAAACCAGTTTTCAACTACAACTAATACGATATAACCACTTTGAGTCTCCACCGCTAGACAGCGAGGATACCTTCATCTGTAAATCTGCAAGTGGAAAAGTAAAAATAACCGTATAAGTTGCATTGGCTCACGAGTAAGTGACAAATACTCTTTCTACTGTTGACTCGAATCAACGCTTATCCTGTAAATAATAATTACTAATCTACACGCGTGTGCGTTTTCTTTTTCCTATGTTGCAGACAGCCGCGTAAACAACGTTTGTTAATTCATGTCAATCAGAACCAATATTTAATTCCAATATTTATTTCAATAAAGCTAATTATTTGAATATAAATAGTTCGTCTCCACCAACTTATTTACACCAGCCATTATTTCAGAGTTCGAGAGAATAAAATAAAACGACTATGTTCACATAAATAATATTAGCCTTGCAAAGTCAAAGCATAGTTAAGAGGGATTTGAAAATTTTTTTCGCCTGCAATATGCTTTGATCGTAATATTTGTCCTAAATCATTTGAATAAAAATATGTACTCGAAAGTCACCAATTGACAGCACATTGTCATAGCAAGCCCCAGGGTCGTTAGATTTGTTTTGAGCTATTTGACCTCAACGAAGACTTTTACCATCATATGTGCAGGCAACGTAATTTCACATATAATATCCTTCAATTTTTTGGAGTACATTTTGTCTTGAAAATTTAATATCGGATACTTGTTCCTAAATAAAGTTTAACGATCGACAGTTTTTTATTAGGCGAGAAAAGAAAAATCGTAAAGCACAAGGCCACGATCCGTCGAAAACAAAAAGGCTCCAAACAATGTCACTGTCCGTGGCGCGCGATGTAAACGTTGCACAAGGGCATGCGCGAAACGCATTCCCTCGAACCTGCAGAGCTCTCGAACTGTTGTGCACACTCGCGAGCGTATAACAGTTAGACGAGTCGTAAAAGTTAAAGATTCTTTTAATACCTTATAAGAAAGTAGTATACATCTTCACTTTCTTGGGCTGAGCACTTATATACATATGTGCGTCGCAAATGCGGGCACATATTATATTATTATTGCCGCGAGTATACCTTCATTAACGACTCGAACGTTTTTGTTTTTTTTGTTGCACCGTCGATTTATAAGGCTTTTACGAACACAGAGTCGAACGGTTGCTTACGTAACCTCGCCCGCGTGTCCGTTTACTCCACATTGCGGAATAAAAAAAAACCTATTGGACGAATAAAAATTTTCTATGTTATTCTTCGTCCCTGAGCAATGCGATGATCTTTTTCGGGTTACACACACATACATTTAAACTTAAACGCTTATTATATAGTCCCTTAATGCCCTTTTTCGTACACCACAGAACTACTTTCTTTCTCTCGAGCACCTCTTACAACTCCTCTGCGTTGTCCTTCTCTCCTTTTTTTTCTCATTTCTTTCTTCTTCTCGTTCTGCATGTATATAGGTGATAAGAACAAATGACCGGGCGTGTATGTGCGTTAGGGTTTTTGCACTGCTACAACAACTGCACTGCACGCGCGACTTGTCTTTCATAACGGGTGTGATTCTCTCTCTCTCTCTCTGCACTCGAGTGCCTTTTTTTCTGCAGCGGGAGCCTCCAAAAGTTTACCTGATGCACGAGGTCCCATTTATCTCCGCGGCCGATCTTTCCTCGAGCATTTTACACACACTCTGCACAAACACGCTCGTGCTTTCTTTCTCTTTCTCTCATTTGCTGCTGCTGCTGCAGCGAGTTGTATGTGTAAAAATCGCGCCTTGGCTTTTCGTCACTCTAATTCTCCTTACCACCGCCACCGCCGCCGCTGCTGCTCCGCAAGGAACAGGTGTTGAAAATACCTTCGACTCGAAGCCAGCCAGCACATGGCATAACATTTAATACGCTTGCGTTTATTAGCTTGACTTTGTTTTTAAACAAACAAAAAATTAACGCAGTAATTTAGTCGCGTAACGAGCCTACCTGTTTGTGTACGCGCATGATGTATAATATTGTCGCGTATATTGTCGCGAAAGTGCAGAATTCTACAGAGTATATGCATAGCAGGCCCTGTGTGAGTTAGCCATAAAGTAATTATAGCTGCGAATTAAGTCAGATTGTAGAAGAAAAAGAAAAAGTCAATTACAAAAATTGAGGAAAATGGACAAAGTTCGAGGGATTCTTGTATGGTCGGGAACTCTTCTTTAGAAAGAGTCCCGATAGTTTTGTTTTGAATAAATAAAGATCAACAAAGAATTTTTCTATTGTGAGAAAAACTTTGAAAGTTCAAAAAACTCACTCTTTATTTTAACAGAAATGCGCACAATTCAAAACGAGAATTGGCTGAGGTCTCGCGATCAAAATTATAATAAATAAGTTATCTTTTGCAAAAAGTTAGATGCTTTTATGGCGGAACGGATAAGGAGAGCAATTGCTGACTGCCCAATAGCCATGGTAATGTATAGAAAAATTAAACATATCTTATATCTCCGATCAACGCCGCATTTGTATCCCAACGAAGCACATTTGTCTCGTGGAAACAATCAAAACGAATCAGCGCACCACCACCAAGCGGAATATAAATGGAGAAACTACCCTGGCGCGCGACCGATACGTTGACCTGATCGCGAGCGTGGACATTTTACAATCAAAGATGCATAAATCGACTCGCGCTCGACTGTGTATTATACATCAAGCACGACCG